GTCGTCTTATATTCAGGGTCTAGACTTTGGCATGTCAATAATACACCCACAACAATAGGTGGCGACAAATATGCATAGAACGAGTGTGCCATGAAATACGTAATGTAATGTGTGTTGTAAAGATCGCGAGTAAAAACAAAAGAGAAAGAAAACCTTACAGCTGCATGAGTCGTGACTGTCACGTTAGCCTGATGGGACCAAACTCCCTTTGTGATTTTAAAACGTAAGACAGTACCCAGATTTGAAGACTACAGTAAGATTTAACTTCTACTGTTAATAAGATTTTGGTAGGCTACTATTAGATGGATAGCCTAAATGTCCTAATTCAGATGGGCTACCTGTTTTTTTTTTTTTTATGGTATATCAAAAAGTGTATATTTTTTAAATGTGATTGTTGGTACATTTGACCAGTTTTTACCATACTTTCAAAACAAAAATTAAAATAGGAAAAATATGCAATATGAAAATAATTGAAGACAAAATGTGTTTTACTGAGAAAAAACAAGATTTGGTTTTTAAAAAGCCTTTTTCCAAAAGGTACATCTGGAAAAAGGGGGGTCGTCTTATAATCAGGGTCGTTTTATATTAGGGCCAATACGGTAGATACAGTAGAAACACTTAAAGAAACATGCTAGATGTCTTGCAAGTCTCTCTCTCTATGTTGTGACTTGTTCCTGATTGGCTGCTGTGTTTGTAGGTGAGCAGCTGCAGCTGGAGTTCAGAACAAGGTCTGTTGGCCACCGGCTCACAGGACGGGACTGTTCGACTGTGGGCCGTAACGCCGAACACAGCAGAACTGCAGCACACACACACCTGCAGCGTCAGGTGAGACTCCCTGTTTTTTGTCTCTTTGATTAGGAAAGGGAGAAATTCCAAATGTTTCCTAGGTCTGTTGGGAAATAATTTTTCTGTTGAGTGAGACAGTTATGTGTTTGTGTGTGGTCTCTGCAGTGAGGATGCTCAGAGCTCAGATGGTTCAATGGGATCGCATCTGCTGTCCACTGTATCGTGGAGCGCAGGGGGAACTCTATTGGCCGCCTTCCAGAACAAACTCATCAACATCTGGACCGTCAGTGGTCAGACCAGCATTCTGCTGTCACATTTACACACACACACACATAGCACTACTGCTGTAAAATCTTATATATGTAATCGAACGGGCATACAGTAATTTATAACTGATTGTAAGAGCAAGTAAACTTGAAGACAATATGAATGCAATATTATCTCTATTTACTTATTAATTGTTTCTGGACTTATTGTGCACAATACATCAGTGCATGTTATTCTGAAGAAAAAAGTTTGTTACCATAATCTTGCATCAAAATAACTTTATTTGCTTCTGAAACAATGTGTTTGCTGATGTAACCAGTGATAATTTAGTATTATGTATACACTATAATAGTATTTATCAATTGATTTATACATTATATTATATACTATTATAGCATTTACTAACATTTTGAATTAGCTTTTATAGGTAACACTTTACTTAAATCCTTTAAGTATAATGCATTATAAAAGTAGATTTAATGCATTAATTATCCATTGTAATGCACTTTATAATGCATTGTACAATCTCATGAATAATTGTAACCACAGTTAATACATTATAACACTTATCAATTCATTGTTACACTATGCATTTAAATTTGGTTATAATTATTTACGATAAGATATAATGTATTACGACGCACATTATGAATAATTATAATGCATTATATACTTTAAAGGAACACTCCACTATTTTTGAAAATAGGCTTATTTTCCAACTCCCCTAGAATTAAACAGTTGAGTTTTACCGTTTTCGAATCCGTTCAGCCGATCTCCGGGTCTGGCGGTAGCACTTTTAGCTTAGCTTAGCATAGATAATTGAATCTGATTCAATCTGAATACCCAGCTAGGTAACTTCCAATAAGCCTATTTTCAGCCGCTGCGTAATATCATTGCGCCTGCTACACCCATGGTACGGCAGCAAAGTTCCTTGATCATTATGGAATGAGAGTATAGTTCCTAGCCATATCGGCCTACAAAATCGCAACTTTTCCGTATTTTCCGTCGGTCTTAGTGCACGATGTAACTACAGAAGAGTCAAGTTTTAAATATAGAAACTCTTTGGTCATTTTTGAGCGAGATGCTAACGGTCTAATCAGATTCAATTATCTATGCTAAGCTAAGCTAAAAGTGCTACCGCCAGACCCGGAGATCGGCTGAATGGATTCGAAAATGGTAAAACGCAACTGTTTAACTCTAGGGGAGTTGGAAAATGAGCCTATTTTCAAAAATAGTGGAGTGTTCCTTTAATAGCCCTTTTTAATGCATTAATACATAAAGGCTTTAAGTCGGTGGTCTCAAACTCAATTCCTGGAGGGCCACAAATCTGCAGAGTTTAGCTCCAACCAGCTCCAAATCACACCTGCTTAGAAGTTTCTAGTGATCCTGAAGACCTTGATTATCTGGATCAGGTGTGTTTGATTAGGGTTGGAGCTAAACTGTGCAGACCTGTGGCCCTTCAGGAATTGCGTTTGAGACCAGTGCTTTAAGTAAAGTGTTACTCCTTTATTTTTATTTTCAAGTTTTATTTTAAGTTTTAGTAATTTTGCTGAGCTTTTGTCATTTTTGTTAGTTTTCTAATATTTCTATTTTGCTTTAATTATATTTATCTCATAGTTGTAGTAATTGTAGTACTTAAAACTTACTTGTTATTGTCAAGACAATATTTTTAATTAGATTTTTTTTTTAAATAAATGTTTCATCTAATATGTAATTTTAATTTTATTTTAGCTTTATTTTAATTACCAAAATTATTTTTAATACTGTCAGGTTTAGTTTTAGGTAACCTCAGCAACACTGGATGTAGTGTGGTTGGGGGAAAAATATTTAAAAATATTAAAATCAACATATTCATAAACAATAATTAAAATTTTTTTTTTATAAAAATGTGAGTAATGCATGTCTGTGTAAAAGTCACCAGTAAGATGCTTTGGTAGTGTGTTCTGTGGGATGTTTTTCACTCATTTTATCAACTGTGTTAGTGGTTGTTGTCTTTACTTATAATTTCATAGCCTAACATTCACAATCCAGGCAAGTCTTGATGGATAAAAACTGCAGTATATCATGTGCATCTTCAAATATCCTGGACAAAGTGGTTGTATTATACAAGCACCTTTTGAAAGCATTTATGTTTGTCTTCTTTCCTGTAGGTGCTCAGGCACAAATGGAGGCTCAGTCCTCCTGGGTCACTGCACTCTCGTGGGTTCAGACCTCCACTCCGTTCCTCAGTCAGGAAGCCTGCAGTCAGGTCAGCCCTCCTGAGAGTCTGCTGGTGGGCCGGCTGGACGGCTCCCTCTGCTGGCTGGAGGTCACAGACGACTTGAGGGTGGAGCGAACAGAGCTCACTCACTGCTACAGGAAAGAAGGTTAGTCCATAAATGTGCTGAAGATCTCGGTTTGAATGTGTTCATTAATTCAGTGGTGAATGACTATCACTGTGTTTTATAGCTCCTCAGTGTCTGGCCTGGTACAGTGTTGATAAACCCTTTGCCGTGGGCTATCCCGATGGCAAGATTCTACTAGCAACAGCAGAGAGCTACGAAATCGACCCGCCTATTCTGCTAACAGCATTTCCTGTGAGTATGGAGTCCTCAAAACAAAGACAAACACTTCATTCACCAATAATGATGGTCTGGTCAATAATGATGTCTGGTTAGAGAATAAATAATTTGTTTGGACTAATTAAAATTGTTTGTTTGTAAGCATTTGTAAGACAATGGACTGGAAGTGATATGAATTATAAGCAACGCTATGTTTTAGAAAATATTTTCTTCAATCATTTTTTTTTACACAAAAATGGCATAAAATATAATAAGTAAATTAATATAATTTAATCAGTGATTGTGATGAACAGTAATATTTAAAAATATTTAAATAGTGTATGGGTCAAAGACGTTAAGGTGTCCGCATCAAAAGAAATTTACAAAAGTGATTTTATGTCCATAGAAAGCACATTAAATGCAAGTAAAGTGTCTACATTTAAGGTTTCAAATACGTTTTTGAAGAATAAAATGTCAAAATTTGGTTGAAATAATGTTCCATTGTCATTCAGTGTAACACTTAAAGTTATGTAAAAATTCAAACAACATGCTTATTCTGACCTGTACATATGAAAATATATAAAATAATAAGTGAGCATATTACATTTTATTTGGTTTTAAATGAGTAAAAAAATCTTACTGACAAATGGGCAAAGTAAAAAATTATTACTGACAAATGGGCAAAACCTAGGATAGTGGCAAATTAAAAAAATGTAAAAATAGTAACAAATTAGTATTTGGGGTGAAAGTAATTAGTTTTTTAATATGTCATAAATTGATTTTTGTTGTAAATATGCCTAACAAGATTGTTACACTGAATGACATTTTAGTTGGTGTCTTCTGTAAATCGGGAAAATGTATGATATTTATTTTTTGCTCAGAAAAACAAAAATACAATTACATGAATTACATTTTTTATTTATTTTTTTTGGAAATCAACAACAATTTAAAGCAGTATTGTTTTTATGCTTCAACCCTTTTTCGTCTTTGACCCGTATACAGGTGCATCTCAATAAATTAGAATGTCGTGGAAAAGTTCATTTATTTCAGTAATTCAAATGTGAAACTCGTGTATTAAATAAATTCAATGCACACAGACTGAAGTAGTTTAAGTTCTTGTGAAGTTCACTCAAATTCTTGAATCGATTTTGCTTGACAATCTTCATAAGGCTGCGGTTCTCTCGGTTGGTTGTGCATCTTTTTCTTCCACACTTTTTCCTTCCACTCAACTTTCTGTTAACATGCTTGGATACAGCACTCTGTGAACAGCCAGCTTCTTTGGCAATGAATGTTTGTGGCTTACCCTCCTTGTGAAGGGTGTCAATGATTGCCTTCTGGACAACTGTCAGATCAGCAGTCTTCCCCATGATTGTGTATTCTAGTGAACCAAACTGGGAGACCACTTTGAAGGCTCAGGAAACCTTTGCCGGTGTTTTGAGTTGATTAGCTGATTGGCATGTCACCATATTCTAATTTGTTGAGATAGTGAATTGGTGGGTTTTTGTTAAATGTGAGCCAAAATCATCACAATTAAAAGAACCAAAGACTTAAACTACTTCAGTCTGTGTGCATTGAATTTATTTAATACACGAGTTTCACAATTTGAGTTGAATTACTGAAATAAATGAACTTTTCCATGACATTCTAATTTATTGAGATGCACCTGTATATGTATATACTTTTTAATATATTTTTAACAAAATTAATGCATTTATTCAGCAAAGGTGTATTCAATTGATCAAAAGTGATAGTAAAGACATTTATAATGTTACAAAAATTTGCGTTTCAAATAAATGTATTGTTACACAAATAATTATTTGCAAAAATGTTAAGCAGCTCAGCTCTTTTCAACAGTTGTGTAATAATAATAATAATAATAATAAATAATAATCATTAATAATATGTTTCTTTAGCTCCAATTCAGCATATTAGAATGATTTCTGAAGGATCATGTGACACTGGAGTAATAATGCTGAAAATTCAGCTTTGCATCACAGGAATAAATTACATTTTAAAATATATTTAAATAGAAAAAAAGTTATTTTAAATCGCAGTAGTATTTCACAATATTACTGTTTCTACTGTATTTTTGTCTTGCTGAGAATAAGAGAATTCCTTCAAAAACATTAAAAATCTGGCCACCCATAAACCTTTAAACTGTAGTGCATTTCATTACAAAAATACATGTTTTCATTCGATAAAATGCAACATGGAGACTTTTGGGAACTTTTGAATGATGACCTGAGCAAACCAAATGAACTGAATGAATGAAATTAATTGGGTTTCTTCACACATTTCAGACAGATTGAAACTGAACACATACTTTGACACAAATAAACCCATATGTTTTGATGCTTTTATGTTCACAGGAGAGTGTGAGTGCGCTCAGGTGGGACCCTACCGGTCATCTGCTGCTGTCTGTGGGCCACTCTGAGGTGGTGAAGATCTGGGGTCGTGCCAGCAGTGCGTGGCTCACCCTCCACTCTCTGTTCCACACGGGCACTGTCAACACGGCCGAGTGGTGCCCTCTGCCCGGGAGAGGACCGGAGCCTCGTCTTATGATGGCAGTGTAAGTGTGCCATAATCTTAATAATGCTTAATAATCATTACAGCGATTTTCAGAACCAGATGCCCACCTACTTTAGTATTTAGCAAATTGTTGGGGGTGTTACTACTCATTTCACTCCCAAAAAAGCCATTTACATGTAGAATTCTTAAAATGGCAATGCAATGGAAATAGAAACCAGTGTTATTTTACAGTATCATTGAGATGCTATTACAGTTTTTGTTAATATTTTGGAATTTAAAAAAAATATATTTTCTACTTTCATATTAATTTTAGTTAAAGTTTTAGTAATTTTTTGTGTGTTTTTGTTGTTTTTAAATATGTCTGTATAGTTTTTATGAATTTTTATTTCAGTTTTAGTTTCATTTATTTTAGGACATCAAGTTAAACTAAATGAGAAATGTTGCAATGGAAGTTTTTTATATTATATTTCATCAATGGAAGTTTTTTATATTATATTTCATTAAAGTAACATTTTTATTTTTTTTGTCAACTATAATAACCCAGGTAGCAACAGATTTTTCTTCGATATTATGACAAATCAGAGTGTAACAAATTATCAAAAAAAACAAAAAAACAGCGTGACATTTTAATTCAACAATACAATTTAAAAATGTATTAAAAATGACAAATACATAGGTAAATTGTTCATAATAAGAGCTGTGACATTCATTTAGATAATAGATAGTAAAATAACTTTTAGAACAGAAGTAAAAGAACTTTTAGAACAGAAGTAAAAACCTAAAGGTCAAAGAAAGGGTGGAAAATAGACGAAAAAGTGTAAAATTAAATGGCGACTTTGGTGGGAGAAACATTAACATTATAAGTAAGAATCAAATCAAGTGGTCTTAAAATGTTACAAAAGTGTATAAAATGGCACTATTATTATTTTTCACACCATTAATGTGAAGATTGGGTACAAGATATCTCAGAGGAAAGCTTTAAATGAGTACTTCATGAAGTATTTTTAGGATATGTAGACATTTATTGGTTATATTGGTACTCAAGGATGCACAGGTGTCTAATCCATCATCTAAATGTTAAGATTTTCCTTTATTTCCTCAGTGGATGTCAAAATGGCCTCCTGTATGTGTGGAATCTTCCTCAAGGGGGCGCTAATGTCTCAGTGCCCAATTTCCTCACCCTGTCTACCAGCCAAGACAAGAGCAGTGCCATCAAGGTCAGAATGATTTATTTTTGTTTTGTTTTTTGGGGAGATAATTTAGCCTTCTTATTTATTGCCTGTTTCACCTTTTAATTCACTTTCTTACTGTTAGATTATTTGGCACTAAATTTATTTTTTGGAGTTTGTTAGGACAGTTCAAGGAAGCTGTGCGTGTGTGTGTGCTTTTTGTGTTTTAGCGGGGCAATGCTAAATGTGTGTTCCACCTGAGTGGACACATTACCGCGGTAAAGACCCTGTCATTTTGTCCCAGTGGACTTGCACTCATGTCTGGAGGAATCGGAGGGGTGCTCAACATCTGGTCTCTCAGGGTGAGTCAAACGCTTCTTATAGGTATTTCTTTTATTAGCTTTACAAAGCTCCTGTTTTTGTTTGTAACTCCCCTGTGTTCTAGGATGGTTCGGTCCTGCAGACTGTGGTTACAGGAATGGGCTCTGTGGTTTGTACCACCTGGATCCCACACATAGGGGTGACCGCTTGTTCTGGAAGATCAAAAGTACCGAACATTTTCTGAAAAAGTGTTTAATTCAATTAATGTTTAATTTAAAAATGTGTAAGTAATGTTTAATTCTGTTTCTCCTATCTCAGGATGTTTTGCTAATTCGCTGTACCCCAGACTGGATCTCTCAGAATCACGTTCTGGCCTCCTGCCGTTCCGTTCTACGCAGTCAGGGCATTCTGGGATTGAATCGTGCCCCCTGCATGGCCGTCTTTCTTGAGCGCCTTCCCACATTGCTTCAGGAGCAGTACAACTATGAGAAGGTACATGCAGTTTCTCATCAAAACTGAAAACTCAACATTCACTACATTTATTGTTCATGTAATGAGATATATTTTGCTGTCTTTGTGTTGCGGACGATAACTGAAAAATATTACGTATAAATCTATGCTATTTTTTAAAAGACAAAGAATAAATAAACACACTAAAGACAAGGGAAAACTATATTTAAAAAAATAATGGCCTTAAAGGGGGAAATTTAGCTAAAATCTTTTACTATGCCTTTAAGTTAGTGCTAGATTATAGTAATCTAAATAACAAAATCGGCAAAAATACTTATATCCGCACTTGACTATTTTATTTTCTATTTATTATTTTTCAAATTGATATCAGCCAATAAAATAAAATTCAAATTAAATGAAAATTGCTAATATTTACAAAATATAGTCACATACAAAATTAAAAATATTCAGGAGATATTACATTTTTTTTATCAGATATCATTTACATTTACATTTACATTTAGTCATTTAGCAGATGCTTTTATCCAAAGCGACTTACAAATGAGGACAATAAAAAAAAGTATAAGTATAAGAAGGTACATGCAATTTATATCAAATTGAAAGATTTTATGTAAATGTTATTGTTGTTATTTTTATTTATTTTTGTTTTGTTTGTTTGTAAATATAATGTTAAATTATTGTGTCAATTCATTAAAGTGATATTATTATTATCATTTTACATTTTATTATTCTTGAGTTTGCCATGAATATAACATTTGATGCTGAAAAGGTGTTAATTGAAATACAATTATACTCCATTTAAATTAATTTGGAGTACCTTTATTGGTAGATTTTGATCATAAAATGTGCTTATAAAACAGGAAAATCTGTAGAAGTGTGCTTTGTTTTGAAATGAGTTCTTGAAGTCTTCTAGAATGCTGTAGAAATGAAATAACTGTATTCATTACATTAGGATAACTGACACATACTGTACATATTTGCCTCAGTTCTGATCCAGTCTGAGTTTCTGCTGAGGCTCAGTTTGTTCTGCTGGCATATTGACTCTTTGCCCCGTTTTGCTGCAGAGTTTCACTTAACAGTCTCTATTAACAGCTCATTATTGTCTTCGGTTAAACAGCAGAGATCTCCTGCAATCTGCAGTCTGCTGAGGAGAGACCAGAGTCAGTCAGTTCACTGCAGCTCTCTGGGTCAACATCACCTTAGCGCCACCTAGTTTTACTTCCTACTTCATCAATTTATATTTTAAAATGTATTAAAATAGACGTAATATTTCACAGTATTCATAATAGTTCACAGTATTACTGTTTTTACTGTATTTTTGGTGAGCTTCTTTAAACAACAAACCTTAATTATTCCATAATTATTTCTATGAAAATGGTATTCTCAGTGCATTATAGATATTATATAACATCATATCCTTTCATGTGTGTGTCGTTCCTCAGAGTCATGTGATGGTGGGCGATCAGTTGACCCACAGTGCCTTTCTTCAGAGTCTGGCCACTCTGGCCATGGGTCTCTTCTTGGATCAGTTACTGTGCCGTCAGCCCAGACCGCCTCATCACAGCGGGACGGGGCCGGGGCCGGATCAGGACGGGGCCCCTGGATCCTTCTGTCCCTCAGAGTGGAACTGGCTTTCCATCTATTCAACCACAGTGAAGAGCGCAGAGGCGTTTGCTCGTGGCACCGCCTTCCCAGAATCCTTCATTGCACCTGAATTCCATCATTCTGGATCCACGGAGTTGACCAAACCATTGGTAAGATGCAAAGGAATTAATCCTTGTGAAATACTTGAAGGATATTTGTATATCTGCTTATAATATTAGTAAGGTTTATTTGCACAAAAAAACAACATAATTTATTCGAGACCTTTTTTTGACTCTTGTTTTGACACTTGGAATATTAAATGAGCTGTTTTTGCTGCTTTACTTTTAGAAAAGAAGAAATACATAACAAGGATTAAAATGAAAAAAAGAAATTCAAAGTCAAGTCAAATAATAAAAAATGATAGACTAAGTAAGCATAAAAGGATGTAAACAATGAAATAATGACAATACTAGTGCAATCAGTATGGGGAAAAAATTTAGTAAAGTATAAAACTAATATATATAACATTTTTATTTTATAGTTTTTCCTTTAACCTTTTTATATTTTTTCAGATTTTCATGTAATTTTTGGAATTAAATGTTGTATTATGATTCGTTACAGTGTATTATAGTAAGGTAAAACTGAAACTAAAATGAAAACAATTAACATTTTTATTATTTAAAATGTTAACTGAAATAAAATAAATATATTTAAAAATATATATTTCAGCTAGTTGCTAAGGCAACATTTTTCAGTTTAGTTAAGTTGATGTACTAAAATAACTAAAACTAAAACTGAAATAAAAATGAATAAAAACATGTACATGACTAATGTGTAACGTACAAAACATACAACAAAATGACTAAAACTTTAACTAAAATTAAAACGAAAACCGAAAAATAAAAACTGGTTCAAAATATTAATAAAATCTATAGTAGTATCTCAATGACACCAGAATTCCTTAGCTGAGCTCAGAAAATCCTGTTTTCCACAATATGCCCCTTAAAGGTTATTTTGATTTATGCAAAGGGTCTTTTGTTCTCCTTCCAGGACAACAGTAAATGGACCTTCATGATGGATGAACAGCTCATGTCCTGGGCGACCAGCAGACCTGAAGTAAGTCTGTGTGTTCCTGAACGTGTGTGAGGTTTAGCAGATATGTGGAAGTGTGTGTTAAGACATCCGGATCTTCCTTCATCTCCCTCATTCGTCTCTGTCAGTATAGCCCTGTGTTCAGCATTGTTCTTTCAGGCAGATTTTTATCACTCTTCACGTGTTTTTATTCATTCGTCTTTTATAAATTACCCCTCACAAACCCTAGCAGCCAGCGCCACACAAAACCTGTCTCTACTTTACATAAAACCCCTTTCCTCATTATTTAAAGCATATCTCTATGCTTATTTTACTTTTACAGCTTGCTAAATTGGCTTGAGATTGCATTAAAGGAATAATGTTTTTGTAATGTGTATAAAGGAAATATTATTGTATTTAATAGTGCTTTAAACATCTTTTTTTTTTATCTAATAAAGTCATGTTTGTGGTTTTGACAGGACTGGCAGCAGGGTGGTAAAAGTGAGGTGTATTTGTGGGGTAACGGACGTCACGGGCAGCTGGCGGATGCTGGAACCAGTGCGTCTGTGCCCACACTCGCTCCCTCTCTCTCGCAGACTCAACAGGTAGATTATCAACAGAAAACACGTGCAAAGCTAATAAATCCCCTTTCCTCATTATTTAAAGCATATCTCTATGCTTATTTTACTTTTACAGCTTGCTAAATTGGCTTGAGATTGCATTAAAGGAATAATGTTTTTGTAATGTGTATAAAGGAAATATTATTGTATTTAATAGTGCTTTAAACATCTTTTTTTTTTATCTAATAAAGTCATGTTTGTGGTTTTGACAGGACTGGCAGCAGGGTGGTAAAAGTGAGGTGTATTTGTGGGGTAACGGACGTCACGGGCAGCTGGCGGATGCTGGAACCAGCGCGTCTGTGCCCACACTCGCTCCCTCTCTCTCGCAGACTCAACAGGTAGATTATCAACAGAAAACACATGCAAAGCTACCACAAAATGTGTTGGCATGTTCATTTAAAAAGAGATGTTCTCTCCATTTATCTCTGCTAGGTTGTGTGCGGTCAGAACTGCACGTTCCTGGTTCAGGCTAACGGTACGGTTCTGGCTGTAGGGGAGGGCAGTTACGGGCGACTCGGACAGGGTAACTCAGACGACCTCTACACCCCAACTATCATCTCAGCTTTACAAGGTAATGCAAACCACAGCAAACTTGTTTTCAGGCCAGTGCCAGTAATATGTGTTGTACACAGATGTAATTAACACATTGAATTAAAGGGGGAAAATGTTGAAAATAGATGCAGAATTTTTTTTAAATGTGAATTAACTCTTACTGAGTCTTATATAAGTTTTATTTAATGAATACATGAAAGTTTCATCTCATTTTAGAGCTTTTTAATGTGACATAACTGTGGCTGTTAATTAAATAATTTTTTTAAATTTTATTTTATTAATAAAATAATAATAACATACAAAAACCAACATAAATAAACAACTTGATAATAACAAATAACATGATCAACAAACAATGTAAATAATAATAATAATAACAATATAATAATTATATTATTATTAATAATAACATACTTTTAATCTATTTTTAATAACATTGTAACTATATAGTAATTATAAATAATAATAATGACTTATAAAATATTATTATTATTATCTGAATTTTAACACATTGTATTAAACTTGTGCTGGGAATACAGTTATATTATTATTTGTTGATGATGATGATGATTATTATTATTGTTATTATTATTGTCTATTATTATTATTATTAATGATTTTATTATTTTTATTATTTAATAACCTCTTTATCTATATTTTTCTAATAACTTATATTGAAACTATAATTATATAATTAATAATAGTTTAGGTAATTATAATATAATTGATGATAATAATAATAATTACCTCTTAGTCTATTTTTCTAATAAATGACCTATAAACTATTATTATTATTATTATTATTATTATTATCTGAATTTTAACACAATGTATTAAACTTGTGCTGGTAATAAGATTATATTATTATTTGTTATATATTGGAAATCAGATTATGATGATGATGATGATGATGATGATGATTATTGTTATTATTTTATTAATAATTTTATTATTTATTATTTAATAACCTTTTTATCTATATTTTTCTAATAACTTATACTGTAACTATAATTATATAATTAATAGTTAATGTAATAATAATAATATAATTGATAATAATAATAATAATGACCTCTTAATATATTTTTTCTAATAACTTATTGTAACTATATAATAATAATTAATAATAATAATGACCTATAAAATATTATTATTATCTAAACTTGAACTCATGCATATATAAAAATGCATGAAATATATATTGCATCTATTACATGTCATTTTTTTCCCTAATAGGTTATGTAGTGACTCAGCTGGTGACATCATACGGGTCTGATGGCCACTCATTGGCTCTCACTGAGACCGGAGAGGTGTTCAGCTGGGGTGATGGGGATTATGGGAAACTCGGCCACGGGAACAGTGAAAGGCAAAGGCGACCCAAACAGATCGAGGCTCTGCAGGGAGAGGAAGTGGTGCAGGTAAAGAAAATGACTGTCCAAGATAATCACCAAAATCATCACATGATCAGATTTCAGAAGATTTCTGATTCTGACATGATCAGATTTCGTTTGAACATCATTTCCCTCTTTCAGCTGGCGTGTGGGTTCAAACACTCAGCCGTCATCACAGCGGACGGAAAACTCTATACCTTTGGCAGTGGAGATTCTGGACGCTTGGGTCAAAGGTCAACTTCAAACAAGATGGTCCCGGAGAGAGTGACAGCACTGTATGGGTACCACATTGGACAGGTGCTTCTTCATTGTTTGGACTTTCATTCTAATGTGCGTATATGACCTTTGACCAGCGCGTGATGAGTGAAGATGACCTTTTCTGTCGTGTTTAGGTGTCATGTGGTATCAATCATACTTTGGTCCTGTCATCAGACGGCCTGAGTGTGTGGGCTTTCGGAGACGGTGATTATGGTAAACTGGGTATTGGACCATGTACAGTGAAATGCTACCCACAGGTACAATCTTACTGATTGATCAGGTACATTTTCATTCAAAAAGTTTGAATTTGGTAAGATTTGTTCATATTTTTGAAAGATGAATATTGTGGTCACCAAGGATGCAATTATTTGACCAAAAATCCAGTAAAAACAGTAATTATGTGAAATATTAATACAATTCAAAATAACTGTTTTCTATTTTAAGATGTTTTAAAATATAATTAATTTTTGTGATGCAAAGCTGAATTTTCAGCATCATTACGCCAGTCTTCAGTGTGTCTTCAAATGCTGATTTGGTGCACAAGAAACATTCTTATTATTGAAAAAACTTTATCTTTGATGAATTAAAAGTTCAAAAGAACAACATTTATTTGAATGCTTTGTAACATTATAAATGTCTTTACTGTCACTTTTGGTCAGTTTGATGCATCCTTGCTAAATAAAAGTAATAATTTCTTTCAAAAAAATCAAAGTCTTACTGACCCCAAACTTCTGAAAATCATACAAATATATGTATGTTTTTTTTTTTTTTCATTGGCTGATTGTCCTGGGTTTCTGTTTGTTGTTAGAAAGTGGAGGCTCTTTGCAATAAAGGCATTAAAAAGGTTGGATGTGGAACACATTTCTCAGTGGTTCTGGCCAAAGATGGACACGTCTACACATTCGGCCAAGGTAGACCCTCCAGAAATCATCATCATCATCATCCAAATGTGTTTGTGTAAATGTGGCATCATTTACATTTACTCTATTTTGATTCTAGTCTGAACCAATTTTTCTCTCAAAAGAATATTTCGATCGTAAAGCTGACTGTGTTTTTCAAATGACCTTTGTTATGTTGAGAAAGCCCTTATATGCATGTATGTTTTCACAGAGCGTCTGATAGGTCTGCCAGACTCCATGCTGAAGAATCACAACCGGCCGCAGATTATTCCCGCTCTGGAGGGCGTCTTCATTGAGGACATTGCTTTGGGCTGTGAACACATCCTTGCTTTATCCAACACTGGAGACGTGTATGCATGGGGCTGCAACTGTGAGGCCCAGGTACTGTCAGCAATTATGTTTTCTGCGGATATTTAAGAATCTGTGAATATTTAGTGGAGCTTATGTCCTCTTTGTGTGTATTGCAGCTGGGTCTGGGCCATTCCAATCCTGTCAAAGAGCCCACTCTGGTTACTGCTCTACAGGACAAGAAGATCAGGCAGATCTCGGCTGGACGCTGTCATACCTCGGCCTGGACCACACCGGCTCTGTCAACCAAAGCTTCAGGTACAAACAAATCCCAGTGAGCTGCATTGGAACTTCATAAGTAAACTGTTTGAAATCATCTACATGGGTAACAGCTAATAATGTTTACTTATATGCACCATACAACTAGCACTGTTCAATAGTAAGTTCGTTCTTATTGGTACTATGAAACAAAATTGCAAAAATTAAAGTTTTAATTTTTGAAATGTTAAAAATGTTTTTGTTTTTTGTTTTTCACAGAAAAAAAATCAACAAAATCCTAAAAATGTCAATGAATTTGTATAGTATTTATTTTTATTTTTTTTTAAAGATTACAATTAAAGTGCACACATCCAGCAGGCCAAAAGCTTTATTATTTTTTAAAGAAATTAATGCTTTTATTCACTAAGAATGCATTAAATTGACCAAATGTCGTTTTTGTTTTTTGTTTTTCACAGAAAAAAAATCAACAAAATCCTAAAAATGTCAATGAATTTGTATAGTATTTTTTTATTTTTTTTTTAAAGATTACAATTAAAGTGCACACATCCAGCAGGCCAAAAGCTTTATTATTTTTTAAAGAAATGCTTTTATTCACTAAGAATGCATTAAATTGACCAAATGTCAGTAAAACATTTATAATGTTACAAGAGTTTTCTATTTCAAATAAAGCTGTTATTTTGAACTTTCTATCCTAAAAATCCTGAAACAAGGTTTCCACGACATAAGCAGCACAGCTGATTTCAACATTAATAAAAATAAGAAATTGTTTCTTGAGCAGCAAATCAGCATATTATAATAATTTCTGAAGACTGGAGTAATGATGCTGAAAATTCAGCTTTGCATCACAGGAATAAATTACATTTTAAAATATATTTAAAAAGAAAACCGCTCTTTTAAATTGTAATAATATTTGACAGTATTACTATTTGATTTTATTTATTTATTTATATTTGATCAAATAAATTAAGCCTTTGCCTTCTGTCAAAAATATAAAAAAATATTACCGACCCAGACTTTTGAATTATATTGTATATTTTCTAGTTATTCTTGTTTCTACAATATTTAATCGACTAGTTGCTTTTTAGTACAGTCTCTACAAATATGATTTATCCAGAAGCAACAAACAACAGGCAGACTCATAGAAAATCCTGAAAATGTATGGGTCAAAAGCTATAAACCCAGTAATTCAGATATGCAAAATGTTTCTGCTGAATCCTAGCATATCCCAGCAAAAAAAAAATTAAAATCTGGAAAATTCATGACAATGGGGGGCCAGTCAAAAAGGTTGAGAACCACTGCAGTAGAGGAACACAGGAAGTGTAGGAAATATAGATGGATAGTTGATAGACAGTGTTTATAAACTTCCTGTTTGAGCTGCAGATTTGTTTTTGCCAAGATTTAAACTTTTTACTTGATCAAGTACCTAACCTTGTCCTCCAATCCACAGGGGGCGCTCTAGCAAGCCCATTTTTGTGCAGATCGCCAAACAGGTGGTGAACCTGAACCCCACTGAGCTGCGTCTGCCCTCCAGAGCATGGAAGGTGAAGCTGGTTGGAGAAGGGGCGGATGATGCCGGCGGCGTTTTTGACGACACCATTACCGAAATGTGCCAGGTAAGTCCATTTTCTTAAAATGGAGTGTTGCTTTCATGTTCAGGCATCCAAAACCGAATTCTCTTTTCCCAGGAGTTGCAGTCAGGTGTGGTCGAGCTTCTCATTCACACTCCCAACAGCTCTGCAGATGTTGGTAGCAACACGGACAGGTACGTTTTAGATTATGAAATGCATAAGCAGAATGTATAGCGATGATGTATTTCTGTAGGCTAAACCAGAAGGTAGCTTCACCCTGGTTTCCTCAACAAAAACCCAGTAGTTCCTGGTTTTGGTCTACAAAAATAGGTCATCCCTGCAGCACTCTATTTGCTCTAAATAGAAAGACTGTTTACTACTAACCTCCATTGTCTGGACAGGTTCTTGCTGAACCCAGCAGCAGTCTCGGATGATCACATGGTGCAGTTTCGCTTCTTGGGGATCCTAATGGCAGTGGCCATTCGAACCAAAAAGCCCTTGGATCTGCACCTGGCGCCATGGGTGTGGAAACAGATGTGCTGTATTCCGCTGGGAGCCGCCGACCTGGAGGAGGTGGACCTGGCATATCTCAGAAAAAAAAAAAAAAAAACTTCACATCGCCACACACTGACCTCATCAGTGAACATCTGTTCTAGGATCAGTTCCTCAGCGGTTGGATGTGAGATTTGATTTTGCATTTCATGTCAACAACTCTGACTGTGTATTTTGCAGGTTGTTCAGGGATACAGCTGGGTCTGCCTCAGTCCGTGCCTCCGCAGTATAACGCCCTCAAAGACTGCAGCCCTGAAGTGCTAAACACCCGTTCTTGCTGAACCCAGCAGCAGTCTCGGATGATCACATGGTGCAGTTTCGCTTCTTGGGGATCCTAATGGCGGTGGCCATTCGAACCAAAAAGCCCTTGGATCTGCACCTGGCGCCGTGGGTGTGGAAACAGATGTGCTGTATTCCTCTGGGAGCCCCCGACCTGGAGGAGGTGGACCTGCTCACGTACCGCTCACTTCAGGGCATCTTACACCTGGACAACAGCGTGATCAATGAAGAGAACTTCACAGTGGTGAGGCACACAGACCCGAGACCAGCAGAGATCATCCATTCAGACATGACTTTTCTCACTGTCTTTTATTCTGGATTTGTAGATGATCCCTCTGGACTCATTTGTGGCTCACAGTGCTGATGGCACGTTGGTTCCGGTGATTCCTGGTGGGCATAACGTCCCTCTGACATTCTCCAACAGGAACGATTATGTGGAGAGAGCCTTGCACTACAGACTTCATCTGAAGTGCTAAACCCCCGTCTCAGAGTGCTGTACCACTTCTCTGATCTTATGTACAAGTCCTGGAGGCTTCTGAACCTCGACCCCCGCAGTCAGGTACGCCAGTCAATAATAAAACAAACACACACACATTCACGTGCATCACAGCATTCGCTGCTGATGTTTCACTGGGAAAAAACTGTACTCTGTCAGACATGACTTTTCTCACTGTCTTTTATTCTGGATTTGTAGATGATCCCTCTGGACTCATTTGTGGCTCACAGTGCTGATGGCACGTTGGTTCCGGTGATTCCTGGTGGGCATAACGTCCCTCTGACATTCTCCAACAGGAACGATTATGTGGAGAGAGCCTTGCACTACAGACTTCATGAGATGGACAGACAGGTATCTGCCTCTCCTCCAGACACTTTAGAATTAAAATTATCTTGGCTATGCATCTCACTTAAAGGAATAGTTCATATAGACTGATCTTGCATGCTGACAGTACATAATGGTAACGCAGTTTTTGTGTGTATGTAGGTGGCAGCAGTGAGGGAGGGCATGTCCTCAATCATCCCAGTCCCGTTGCTTTCCCTGCTCACGGCTCGACAGCTGGAACAGCTGGTGTGTGGCTTGCCCGAGGTCTCTGTGGAAATGTTGAAGAAGGTGGTACGATACCGTGACATTACTGACAGCCATCAGCTCATTGGCTGGCTGTGGCAGAGCCTCGAGGAATTCTCCAATGAGGAGAGAGTCCTGTTCCTGCGCTTCGTGTCCGGACGTTCCAGACTGCCATCCAATCCGGCAGACATCACACAAAAATTTCAGATCATCAAAGTTGATCGGGTAAGGCTACTGTCAGGTATAGAATATCCTCTTTATTTTATACTAATTAAAATAGATTTAAAAAAAATATATATATATTAATTTAATATATAATAATTTAATGACAACAAATGAGATGTAGACAAAATTGCTCTGGAATATTTTCTTTACAATATACAACACACACACATTCACGTGCATCACAGCATTCGCTGCTGATGTTTCACTGGGAAAAAACTGTACTCTGACTCCCTGCCAAGAACCTTTCATCATTTTCTAAGCTCAGCTGATTTTGTGTCCAGTGTGAAAGTGTTCCTTGTTACGGTTCCTGTTTTTTACCTCCAGACTAATAGGTCTGTGTTGGTCGATATCTGAGCAGAAGTTTTGTCTGACAGTGTCACTGTCTGGCTGGTTTCCAGGTAAATGATTCCCGCTACAGCTCAGGTACCGCTGCCATTGTACAGGGCCAACTCAGAGGCCTCCTGTCCCCAAAAGTCAACACACTTCCTCTCGTTCGCACTATCGGCAGAACCATGACCCAGGGAAAGACCTACGGTCCCCAGATTACAGTCAAACGGATCTCCACCAGGTATGAGCTTTTAACCAGGGCTGCACAATTAATCAAATTCATGAATTCACCGAAATCACAAAATGGATTAGCGGTACTGTCAAAAGGCTGTGATTTATTTAAATAAATAAATGTGCTGCGTGATTCAGAGCGAAACGCAGCACTGTGTTCTTTTACATGCAGGCAGCTCATGAGCTGGTGTTTTCAGCGTTTCAGAGTGTTTCTTTTTTATTTTTGTAATTATTACTTTACAGTGGAGTATTACAATAGTAATAATGAACAATATTTATTATTATTATTATTATTTTATTGACACTATTATTAATATTATTTTCTGAACCTGAGCTCCATGTGATGTACTTGTGAAGGAAAAAATATATATATCATTTAATGTTTTAAAATAAGACAAATTAAGCATTAAATAAGCCAAAATACAGCAAAAACAGTCTAATTCACAGTAACTGTTTTTTAAGTGTGATTTGCTGTGTAAATTAAAAAAAAGTATAACTCCATGACTATTTTTGTGAATATTTATTTTTCTAGTTATTTTCTAGTTATTGTGTATAAATTGAGTAAATAATAAAAAAAAAAAATAATTCATAGTGACAACAAATGAGATGTAGACAAAATTGCTCTGGAATATTTTCTTTACAATATACTTAATTAAAAATAGATAAAAAAATGAATTATTACATTGAATGAATTTAATTAAATAAAGCTGCATAATTTAATATATACTTTAGTTAATTACAAAATTGTTTTAATTTAACAGAATTTAATGACAACGAATTAGAAGTAGACAAAATTGATTTTCTAAAATGAAATTTACTTTTGAATGTAATATTGAAAATTATTTGACTAAAATTCACCCAAAAATTGAAATTTTTAAATGTTGTATTTTCCTTTATTTCATTATTAATGTTTATTTATATAAAAAGGTTGTCAGTAGATTTTGTAACTGAAAATGACACGAAAATGTTTTATATATTTTTATGTATTATATAATGTTATATAATTTTTAATATTATATAATGAAATTAACTTTGAATATAAAATGTACTAAAATTCAGGCAAAACAGGAACATAATGTACTAAAATTCAGGCAAAACAGGAACATTTTTAAAGAATGTATTTTTATTTATATGATTCTTAATGTTCATTTATATGAAAAGGTTGTCCATTAGATTTCATAACTGATAGAGACATAGGAAAAATAGTTTAAAGAAATGACCTTTTAAATATAGAATTTGGAGTTATTTTACTGAAATTCACCCAAAAATGGAAAATTGTAAAGATGTATTTTTATTTATATGATTATTAATGTTTATTTATATGAAATGGTTGTCAGATTTCAAAACTGAAAAGGGACACAGGAAAAAATACTTTATGGAATTAACTTTTGAATATAAAATGATAATTTAGTAAACAATTATTTTACTAAAATTCACCCCAAATGGAAACTTTTAAATTATGTTGTCAGTTATTTTGTCAATTGTTGTTAAAAAGTTACAGAAATGGTCACAGTTATCGGCCAGTATTGGCAAATATCGTACGATCAATCAGCCTAGCTAATTATGTATATGTACTTTCCATGCCTAACGGCAGTATGTGAACTGGGATCAAGCCCAGGTCTTTAGTCTCACTTTGTTCTCTCAACAGCCTGTGAACGGACTTCCTACGGCCCAGACGTGCTTCTTCCAGCTGCGCCTTCCTCCCTACACGAGCCAGGCCATACTAGCCGAGCGCCTACGCTATTCCATTCACAACTGCCCCTCCATAGACATGGACAACTACATGCTGTCACGCAACACCGACCAGGCAGACGTCTCCGACACCGAGTACTAACGCGGCCCTCGCAAAAACGGACTCTATAACGCTACAAAGCACAGAATAACCCTCATAAATGCCTCCGGTTGCACTTCTTCCTCATACATGCAATACAGTTCTCAGTCACAAAGCCTCACGTACGTACTCTCTGCAGTACCCAGAATGCACTGCAGACGCCAGTTCTTCCACAAGGTCAAAGGGAGAATATTTAAGCAATTCAGTTCTTTATTTATTCCTTTTTGTATCATCTTCGTGTCTCTGAATGTTGCAGGAAAGTTTCTAAAACTAAAAAAATATTACAATATGTTACAAGCGCCGTGCCTGGAATGGTCGCAAGGTTTCTTCTCTTGGCGTTAGCGACAGAAACTGCGGTTGGTTCGTAGGTGAGCACTTGGCAGCTAGCTTCCTGTCCCAGTTTATGCCAAAGGCTATTAAACTACTGTACTGTACTGTACACGATACCTTCTGACTCAGTGGGAAAAGAAAAAAAAAAACTTACTTTGAGTCTGAGAAACAAGTCCCAGAGCAATCATTGTTTGGGCATTTGTATCAAGCTAGCTTGTATCTTTAATGAATGTATACTTGCAAATGCCATGCACGTGTGCACGCCAATCTTTTATTTGCCAAATACTGTACTGATACTGTACATTACATAGGGTTTAATGAATTTTAGCCTTTCTTTTGCAACTGTGAAACTGAGACGTTTGGTGATTGTTGTGTTCGTCTGTGTATTCTCACAGAGCGAGAGTGCAGGTTTGTTACACTGCTGATTGGTCATCAGTGTTATTATGTGCTTCGGGCTTGTATGCCTCAGTGCTGGATGTAAAACATGTTTTGACTGTTTTTACTGGTGTGTTTGATAGAGGAGAGTCGCTCTTTACTCTCCAACCTTCTGTATGCGGTGGTTCACAGTATTGGTAAATTATTATTATTTGTTTTTCCTAAAATACTTATCTGAATGAGCTTTATGTGTTGGAAAGACGACTAATGAGGACTCATTGCGCTGTTTTGCACTTTAGACCTGTTTGCATTGCGCTTTAGGAAAATCGTATTCACTATAATATTTACAGATTTCAGATTAATTTATCTAGAGATTCTCCTAACCCCAGTCACTACTGATATAAACCTCCAGAACTAACTTTAACATGAAAGATTACTTTGTTAGGCTATGATGTGGTATTTGGTGATGCTCAAATTTCAGATTAAGCCATAAAACAAGAATGATTCAAGAAGTCTCCTTAAACTGTATATCTGATATCTCATGGCGATGGCCTCTCAGATGGAAGATGCACTGTACTGTAAATTAAATTTTGTGTACAGACTTTCGTGTCAGCTTGGTAAGTCATTTAATTTGATTCTAAATGTTTTTATGATTATGAAAAGTTTTTTACTGTTTTTGTGTTTCTATTCCAGCTATTCTAGTGCAATCAGAGTCTCACGTTTCCAAAGACCAGACAAGGGAAAACCAATCAATTATCCGAAGGATTGGAAGTAAAATTAAGTACGTAATATATACAGAACACTCTCTACACAAGTTCTGAAACACGAATGGACTGCGTCTAATTCACACAACTGACTCTTTTGATTCAGTTCTTTTTTTAGTGAATCACAAACATTCAGCCAAGCGGCAACCTTCCGGTCTCTCTCATGAAACCAACACGGAAGTGACTAAAACTGCAATTCATCAACTGCCCACTAGAGGCTGGCTCCAAAAGGTAGTCAGTCCCATAGACTCCCCATGTTAGAATGCCCAACTTTACAGCAGAAAAAAATAGGTTTACAGCCTGGCACAAAAAGTGGTTTTGGTCTATATGGCTAGTTTTGCCCTTCATGACAACTGTGAGGGGGGTGAATTTTTTTTATAACTCATCCGTGTAAATTATATTAAGCCTTAAAGTTCTGCATAATTAAGGGCGTGGCCACTTGAGTGTCAGGTGGATTGCCGCTGCTGTCATCACCGTCGAGCTAGGTGGGTGTGGTTTCAGCAACCAGCTCCCGCCTCTTTGCCCATTTTCGATTATCCGGG